GAGTGAGAGTTTATGGAGCACTGGCTGTACATCTTATGTTCACAGAGTTCAGCCTCCATGTGTGGAAAGTAGGTGTCACTAGTGTCCGGTTTCTTAACCGGACAGGGTTGGAGAGATGGCTCATCCATTAAGAACACTGCCTGCTCTTCCAAAGGTCCTGAGTTCAATTTCCAGCAACCACATGGTAGCTCAGAACCATCTGTAATGAGATCTGGTGCCCTCTTGAGGAAGAGACCTGGTCAGTTGTCCTCATCAACTTAGACCACGAATCTGCCCATATGGGACTGCCTGTGCGTGCTTCAGCATTGCCAGGGCATACTTTTCCTTCCTTCCTCATTTCTTTACTGGACACGCTGCATGTAAAGCACAGGCTCCTGTGCTGGCAAGCTGTTCTCTGCCTTTGTGTACATTTCTTCCTTACAAGAAACCAGATGGTTCGAAACTCAGAGGTGTCCATGTTTTTAAAATAAAAAATAGAAGAAATGGTCTTTCAAAAGAATTTGCCCTGGCTTTGTGTATGGTAATGCCTGGCTAGGTGGCTTGATGCTGAAGCAGTGGGCAGCTCCAGGTGTCCATTAATGGTGTATAGGAAAAGTGAGATGCAGGGTTTGAACATTTTGTAGGTCACGTGGTGGCTGGACCTGTCTGGCATTTGTCTGATGATTTGTTGTATCTTGTTTTGGGCTCAGACCAAGATCTGGGAGCTTGAATAAACATTAGCGACACTCTTCCTGTTGAGTGTTTTTTAATGGCAGCTCTCATTGCATTGCCTTGAAGTTCTCTGATAATTTTATTCTGCCCTCTTGTGGCTTTGACAGTTGCAGTCCTGTGTGAATTCTTACCCATACTTTCTGTGCAGCATATTTGACTATAGTCAAACCTGTCCACAGGGAGCGTGCCATTCCTAGCCCTTCTATGGACTCATCAAAGGGGGCGCCAGATCCCTTCTTTCATGTAAACTGGGGGCAGGAGCTAATTTGCAAATGATGTTGGAATTCTCTTGAGGTTGAATTTCTTTTTATGTTTATTTTGGAACCACTTGTATTGATCCAAGGGTGAAGCATAGTTTAGGAGGTTCTTCCCAGAAACTGTTTCTCCTGTGTGTGGAAGACGATGGTAAACAGGAAAGCAGAGAGGCCTTGTTCACGGTCCTACAACTCTGCACTGTGGAGCACCCTCTGCCCCCACCCCCAAACACATGACAGACCTTTTTTTGTACCAGGAGTTGGGGGTTCTGGTGTGTCCTTTCTGCTTGGAGAAATTGCTTGTGGTGTTACTGCCAAGCAGGAAGCAGCTTCAGATTGAGGAAGAATTGTTTGGTTGGGTGGGAACTTTTTTTTTTATTTTTTTTTTTATTTATTTTTTATTTTTTTTAAAATATTTATTTATTATGTATACAATATTCTGTCCTTATGCCTGAAGGCCAGAAGAGGGCACCAGACCTCTTTACAGATGGTTGTGAGCCACCATGTGGTTGCTGGGAATTGAACTCAGGACCTTTGGAAGAGCAGGCCATGCTCTTAACCACTGAGCCATCTCTCCAGCCCCGGGAACTATTTTTTTTTTAATGCTGAATGAAGTTGAACAGAAACAAATACATGCCCAGGAGAAATACTGTGGAAGTGCCAAGAAAGGATGGCTCACAAGAAAAAGTGGCCAGTTTTGTTTAGTTTTTTTTTTTTCTTCAGGAAAAATGCCTTTAAGCTAAACTTGGTTTGTTTCTTTAATGATAACTCATTTCCATTCTCTACAAAGTTGTTAGCTCTTGGGTAAATGCCCTGTCTTTTTGTATCCTTTTTAAATGTGGATTTTGAGCCTGTTAGTCCATTTACCCTTGGGCTCTTACTCGAGATAGATAATCTTGGACACATTGGAAGGCAAGCCTGCCTTTGGCCACTCTGCGGGATCGCTTTGCATCTCGGAGAACTGTTTCCAGAGATCCCCCTCATTTGCCATTTTCTTGTTTCCTCCTGACAGCTGTCCTTTGTTTTCCACACAAAACCAGCTTAGTTTTTCCTAGTGTGACCTAGAGAATTGGAGTTTCTATCTGTGCCTTGACACAGATACCGAGGCTATTAGTTTTTTTGTTTGTTTGTTTATTCCCTTTTGATCCCTGAACCTCGAGGTGAGCGGGGGACTAATGAAACCATTGGTCGATGTGAGCGCATTTCTCCAGGAGCCTGCACCTGCATATCTGCTAGGGCGCTTTAGAACACACCAGTTTTATATCTGTTGAATGTCCATCTTCTCTCCACGGGCTGTGAATGTCCCTTTAGACCGTTTTAGTCCCCCTCACCCTACACACACAAAGAGAAGAAATGCAAAAGGGGGAAATGGAGTTGCCTTTTGCTCCCAGAACCTAAATGAATAGTCATTGCCTGTAATGCTGGTCTACACTTGACGTTTCCCACTGCTTTAGATGTGATGTATCCGGTGCTGTGAAGGTAATGATCCTCAACCACAGCAATATTCTGTAACAGGAGTATCTGTCATATTCATCGGGATTACCATGTTCATTGATTTGTGTCTGTAAATCTGCTGTTTCTACCCTTTAAATTTGATCTATAATTGGACCTCCTTAAATGGTTCAGATAAGGTAGTCTGTATTTCCTCAGTGCAGTGTTGCTGTCAGCTTCTCCTTTTTCATTATACATTCAGCAGACTTGATAAAATCAGCAGGACACCTCATTTGAAACTGTTTAATCGCTGCCTTTTTCCTTTGCTAAACCATTGAGGTGGTCAAGCGATGTACACAAATCATTTTAAATAGAAAATATGGTTTTCTCTGTGACCCCACTAAATAGATAGTGTTATGCAAAACAAGTTAAAAAGTAATAAATGCCAAAAAATCTTCTAATTGGAGTAAAAAATTGTGGACAACTGTATCCTCTCTCCAAAAGTAGAGTGCCCTGAAATGATGCCAGAGCCCTGTGTAGACAGATGACGGTTTTCTGAAGCTTCTCGGGGTTCTGGACAAAGCAAGTTTACATTTTCAAATAGTGCTGAGCTGCCTTTGTGTCCACTCAAAGGCCAGGCTTATTTGTAATGCCTTTACATCCAACCTTGCTAAGGATAAATTTGCTCTGCTAATAACTGTGCAGCATAACCTTTCAGCCATTTGCTATTGTAATAAATTTTTGTATCTTTGTCATTTTGTCTACTCAGCTGTTAGTCCTCAAAGTACAAACTAAAAATAATAGCTCCAAATAAATGCCACGGAATGCAGTGTTTTACTGTAGTAACTGGGGTAACCTGATAGCTCAGCTCGAAGTCCCATTACCATTGCTGGTGCTGTATCTGCCTCCCTGCCTATGTGCCAACGTGACTTTACCAAGACCACATCATTAAAACAATGTCTTCTTAACAGGTTTGGTATTTAGCACTGTGTCTAGTAGCTCACCAAGGCAAGTGTGGAGCACAGGCTTCCTCGCTTAGGCTAGAGGGAATTATGGGGCACTCCCCTCTTGGAAAAATACAGATTCTCCGTGACCTCATTTTTAAGCATCAGTATTTCACTGCAACTGCTGCACAGTTAACCCTGTAACAAGAGGGCCAGTTTCAGGGCTCCCTAACTAGTAAGTGGCTCCAGCTTGGAAGAGCACTGACTTTTTCTGGAATGTGGCCTGTAGACTTGGCCCTGACACTGAACTCAATGTGACACTGGGCATGTTTGACTGCTTTTGCTGACCCAAGGTAAACTGGAGATGGAGATGCTGAGTGCTGGTAAAATACACTAAAAGTGCATCTTTTCTTACAGGTTCCGGCTCCTTGGCAGCAATGGCTGTGTTTGAAGATAAGTTTAGACCAGATATGGAGGTATGTAAGCCTTGCAGCTTCCTGCTTTCAGATATTTTCCCAGTTGTGTGTCAGACATTTACAGGCTGACTGCTTCCTCCAGAGCTTGCACAGCACTGTCATTCCTTTAGTGCTCACACGGGTAGTTGTTGAGGAGAATGTTGTGAAAACATTCGTTGTGGTGGCCTGCAGCCCTGCTGTGCTCTCCCTCGGACGTGACGTGGGGAACCCACTCTGGGCTCTTTCAGACTCCTTGCAATGTGGGATATTTTCCTGTGTTCTGAGATTTTTGTGTCAGGATACCAGACAACCTGTTTTTCTGTTCCCTCACTAAAAATAGAGTAACTATGTATGTCTTTCATGTCACACAGACCTAACCTAAAAATGGGTCAGTTTTTAAAATCTCTGTAGACTGCAAAGTCTACAGAGAAGTAGGCAGAAGTGGGGATAAAAATGTGCACATGTAGCGTCCTTGCAGGGTGTTAGGGATCTAGTGTTCCAAGTGTGTTTGTAAGGGATTGTTTGACTGTATTTACTTTGGTAGTAGAAGAGGTAGCATCTTGTGAAAGACATTTGCCTGTCTGCTTTAATGATAGATGCATTCTCCATGAAAGCTCTCTTCCAAAGAAATCCCTTTAATAGCAGATGTATTGATCTTGTGTTGCTGCTTCCAAAGGCGTGGTCAGTATACTGGGTTCCTGTGGTGCCACATAACCCCCTCCTTCCCCTCGATTAACCTGCCCTGGTCAGGAATCATCTCTGTTTGTACTGGATGTCTTGATGGTTAGTTTTTTGATAGGGAGCATCAGTCCTTTTCAGTGGTTCATAGGTGAACGGTTCAGGAGTGTTTCACCTCTTCTTTTCCATTCTTTCTGATTTTGCAAGTATTTTGTTTAGGACCAAAAAGACAGACATTTTGACAGTATTTTGTGCCTGATCATCTTTGGGAGAAGATGGCATATGAAAAATACTTTGTTCTTCCATTCTGTCATTGTCATTGAAGCAGTAAGTGTTATGCTCCAAAGTTCTCTCTGCCCTTCAGGTTTGGGCCAACTACTATGAAAGACAGAACTGGTCAGCCAGGACACGTGTCTCCTGTGCCCTTGGTACATGAGGCTAACACCTTAAATAATGTGTTCCATGAACTCCGTGTGATCCTTTTCTCCTAGCTACAGGAGTTAAACATATAGAATCTAGGTAGATGGTTGTTTTTTTTTTTTTATGGTGAAAAAGTGTATATTTAGAATTAGCCGGCTGGGCTCAGTTTAGATGATTCCGATCTTATTGGCAACATCCAGAGCATCATAATCAGGAGCCAACCGAACATACGCCTTCTTCTCTCCATCGGGCCTTATGAGGGTGTTGACTTTGGCCACATCGATGTCATAGAGTTTCTTCACAGCCTGTTTGATCTGGTGCTTGTTGACCTTGACGTCCACAATGAACACAAGTGTGTTGTTGTCTTCTATCTTCTTCTTTGCTGACTCGGTGGTCAGGGGGAATTTGATGATGGCATAGTGGTCAAGCTTGTTCCTCCTGGGCGCGCTCTTCCGGGGGTATTTAGGCTGCCTTCGTAGCTGCAGGGTCTTGGGCCGCCAAAAGGTGGGCGATGTGCGGATCTTCTTTTTGTGGCTGTGGACGCCTTTCAGCACTGCTTTCTTGGCTTTCAAGGCCTTCGCTTTAGCTTCGGCTTTGGGAGGGGCGGGAGCTTCCTTCTTCGCTTCCGGCGCCATCTTGAACTAGGTAGATTTTGTCTATTAAAAATGATAGTGTCTGAACTCCAATTAAGAAGAATAAGCAGGGCCAAGTGTAAAACTGTAAATGAAATTAGAATTCTGTTCTCATTTCTCAGTGTGAAAATTTATTCCTATATCAACATTATTTTCTGTTTGGTGTCCTTAAAAATACATAGAGAAAAAATTATGTATACTAGGTCACTTAAAAAGAAAAGGACCCAAACCCAAAGTCTCTAGTTTTCTAAGTAGAGGAGTTTTAATGTCAAACTCATCTTTAAACCACATTAATCTTTTCAGATTTCCTTGGAAGTTTTATCTTTTTCAATTGATTAGAATTTCCATATGTTAAGGAAAACTGAGAATTGCAGAGTTAAAATCTGAGGTTTATTAAAAGTGACCTGATGCTCCGCCAAAGTAATTTTATGCTGTGTCAAGCCTGAATTGTAAATAGTTCAAAGGCCATGCATTTAAGGCAGGTATGATTTGGGGAGAAAAGACATCAGCTTCCCTTCAGTACAACTTGGAATTTTATCATTCTGAAGAGAACATTTCTTAGATTTAGTATTCCTGTATTTGAAACATTTAATGTTCTTCTACATTACCCGTGAGACCCTGAGACAGGTTGAAACAATTCCCATTATATAAATTTATAATTTTAGGTTGAAACTTAACACTGTCAATTAAAAATCACTCTTAAAGCCCAAGTGATAGTCTTAACAACTGCCTGTAGATAATACTATAAAAACCTGCATTCATGTTAATAGATATGTTAAAAAAAATCTTGATTTGGGAGTGTGGCTTACTACTAGAGCACTTGCCTAGCCTGTGTGACGCCCTGAGTCTGATTCTTAGCCCAAAACACAAACACACACACGATTAGTGTAAGTATATTGATAAAATAAAAACAGTAAAGCCACAGTGTAGTGGCGCACGCCTTTAATCCCAGCACTTGGGAGGCAGAGGCAGGCAGATCTCTGTGAGTTCGAGGACAGCCAGGACTACAGAGAAACCCTGTCTCAGAAAACCAGAAAACAACAATAACGAAAGTTATTGGGGAGACTTAATTTAGTCTTGGGTCTTGAGTTTGCCATTTGTGTATTGAACTGTTTCCCTGCCGTGTCCAGGTACCATTGAGGCTATTATTTTTCTTTAAAATGTTCTTTATTTTAACAATAAATTGTTATAGTTGATATGTCATAAAATGCGCAGAAATGGAGTTACAATTAGTAACTGTCATTAAATCAAGATGCTGTAGTTTTTTTTGCCTCCATTACCCCTTGCTAGTCAGCCTCTTCTTGAGCTTCCTCTTAATTCGTCTTAGATGTAATGAGTATCATAACATCTTGGGTATTATGTGCTTGTTTTAATATGGGTGCATGCTGTTTATGGAAATGTGTCACCCTAACTTAACCCTTGAGTGTTAGGGAACAGAAGTCACTCCAGCCATTCTTGTTCATGTGTGCTGGCAGCCCTTGGGATTTCTCATTCATGTGTGTCTCTGTGCTCCCTTGTAATTCTGTTCTACACTTTTCCTGGCTATTTTTTAGAGGCATCTTCCCCACTTGTCAAGGAGTGGGAGCTTCTTGAGTGCAGGGGCAATGAGACCATCTCTGTTTTCCAGCTTCCAGCTCTCAATACTTGCTTGTCAGGGCAGAAGGACCCTGAGCTAAAGTGGAATCTGAGTCATCAAAGACCACCGGAGGGGGCTGGAGAGATTGCTCAGCGGTTAAGAGCATTTCCTGTTCTTCCAAAGGTCCTGAGTTCAATTTCCAGCAACCACATGGTGGCTCACAACCATCTGTAATGGGGTCTGGTGTCCTCTTCTGGCCTGCAGGCATACACACAGACAGAATATTGCATACAAAATAAATAAATAAATAAATAAATAAATATTAAAAACAAAAAAGACCACCGGAGGACCAAAGGGACTTCCTCTTCTTCCTGTCTGGAAAGTTCAGAACGTACTTTTGAGACAACAGGAAGATAGCCAGTACACTTCTTTACAGTGCTATAGATATCCCATAAAGTACCCAGGGACAGAAAGTGGGGATTGAGGCAAGTACTCATTGAGAAGGCACAGTCCAGAAAAGCCTCTGTCAACCCAGTGGGGAGACCCTGAGATGGGCCTCTGCTCTTGGATCATCGGAGCCATGGACTTGCCGCAAGTCAAAGCTCTTGGTTCAGCATTTGGGAGAAACAAGTAGCTAGCTGGTGAATGTAAAGCACATTCGGTCTCTAGAGGTTCTCAGCTAGTTGATGCCTGCGTGTTTGGAGCAGTTTCATAGTTTTCACTTGTCCAGTTTTCTCCCTTGCTGCTAATAATTTGGAGGATTGAGGGTGGGCTCTGCCTTTGTCCATTTCAGTTTCCTTACTTACATTGTGCTGGTTGGTCCCTCGGAAAACTCAGCCATTTTTGTTGTTGTTTGCTTTTTGAGGTAGGTTCTCAGTATGTAGTTCAGGTTGGCTGCAAAATTCTTGCCTTGTCTCCTTGGTGCTGGGGTTACAGGGCTGTGGCACATACTAGTTAGTCAGTATTTGTGGATGGGGCAGAAATAACTTTCTTAAGTTGTACTCAGGTTCATCTTTTTCTGAAGCAGCCTTTACCTTTGGTGTTCATAGTGTCCAGCTGTGTTAGAAGTGAAAATTTTGCTGGACGTTGCTGACACATACCTTTAATCCCAGCACTCAAGGAGGCAGAGGCAGACGGATTCCCAAAGTTAGAGGCCAGCCTGATCTACCGAGTGCGTTCTAGGACAGTCAGTGCTACAGAGAAACCCTCTCTCAGGGAAAAAAATGAAAAATGTATCAAAATAGAATTTTACTGATAATAAGAACCCTACTTTATTATTATTATTGTTAATAATCAGCATTCCTTGAGACTAGCAGCTTTTAAGGGACAAGGGCAGTTACTTGAGGGTGTTGCTAAGCTTCAAGTTGCCTTGCCCGCTGATTCTTTTCTCTGATAAGGCTGTGTAAGAAGCCTGGCAGTCATTGTTACCCGACAGGGTAGCTGAGTGGGGACTCTAATGTTAATCATATTGTGACCTTTTCAGATAATTTTCCAGTCAATTGTAAGGAATGCGACCAAAGTACCTGGAAATATAGTGATGGTCCAGAAATGCAGACTTTTCCTGGAGTTGGGGGGTGGGTGGGGAAATGAATATTGGATGTGCCCTAGTGGAAACTTAGGGCACTTCTCTTTCTAGTCCTTTTCTATAAGAAGGATTGTTTTCATTTGGCCTGTTGAGAAATTTCAACTCTTGAAGATTATAATTCATTAAAATAGGCAGAAGATTAATATTTAGTTCGTCAAGATCAATACTGTCCCCTCTTTACACTAATTGTCAGAATACTGTGCGAGGGCCGCCGAAGGCTAGTGGAGTGCGGCAGGACCCTGACATCACAGGGAGTGGATTCAAAGGCAAACTGTCCTGCACCCTCTGGTATCGACTTGCAAATTAGCATCTGGAATCTAATTAAACAAGCTTAATGAAAGCAGCAGCTGAATGCTGCTAGAGAAGACAGTCAGCTTCCCCCTCTCTGATACATATTCTGTACCATCGGAGCTGGTCACCAAACACATTGTGAGCACAGTTTAAAAAATTAGCATTTATTTGAAGACTAGAAACTGTTTTTCATTTTGTTATGCGTTTGGCATGCTCTGGCATCCCATGAGAGCCATGCCACAGCAGATAGTGCACAATATTTATAAATCCATGACAGGCAATAATAGCAACTTGAAAAATTCTTTTGCTAGAATCTCAAGTTGAGAGCTGCCAAAAACTGAGAGGCTCAGATCTGCAGTGGCAGCTGCTGTGCCCTACAGTTAGAATTCTAGACTTTGAAGATGCTCAACTTAAAGCAATGAAGACTGCAGGCTTAGCCAATTTTTGCAGGTTTCTAGAGCTCTGGCTCTCTGCCTTTTGAAGATGACTTGTTGAAGTTTCTACCACTGCCTGAGGCATGCTAACACCGGCAGGATCTTTTCCTCCAGTCTTAGTGTGGCTTCAGTTTTAAGTAACACATACTTCGTCAGTGCCTACTGTGATGGCCCTTTTTGTGGTTGCAGTACCAAGGGATGAGCTCTTACCCTGTACCCTTCAGAGAAGTACAAAGATAGATGGTGACGTATACAAGTGCCACTCAGCTGTCCGATTTATGGAGTCATATTTCATCGCTTGGCCAGTGCTGGCCTCTAGGGAAGCCCTTTGCGGATTGCTAAAGATGTGAGCAGCCATCGCCCTAAAGGCTTGCGGTTATTTCACAAACGTGACGCCAAACACCTAGCTACTGAAGAAACAGGATTAATCTGTCATTGCGGGCAGCTTTAGATCCATTTAAATAATGGAAGACTTGATATCAGTCTGCTGCTCTGACAGCAAATCTTAGAAGTGATTGTGTGTGTGTGTGTGTGTGTGTGTGTGTGTGTGTGTGTGTGTGTGTGTGTGTAATAGAAGCAAAACTGCAAACTTCACCTCTGGGAACAGAGGGATGGTTAGTGGCAGAGATCTGTATTATTTTGTTCTTTTAAAAATCCGTTCAGTTTATCACATAGCATGGTCCTGTGGGTAACCAAGAGCATAAATTCGTTATGGGGGAATGGGGCTTAGGTGTTGGAGGATTGGGCTGCTCCTCTGTTTCTGTTTTACTACTCACAGCATGGCTCTGGGCAACTAGGGGACCAAATCTGTGAGCCAAGTTTCAGAGACCTACCTGCAGGTTGTCAAGAGGATTAGATCCTAGCAGTAAAACACCTTCAATGGCAGTGTATACAAAATTGGGTTTCTGAAACATGGTGACTGTCTTCTAGTTAGTAGTAGGTTGAAAATGTCACCTAGAAGCCACTAACATTAGGATCTGCTATCAGACTTGGGGGTTTATAGCATAGAGAAGAAAGAGCCTTCTTTCCCATATGGAAGCTTACCATCCAAGACAGACCCATGTGATGGGCATGAGGACAGCACAAGTCTGTGTATTATGGGAGTGTTTGCTTTTGGGGGGAAGGTAATGAATGCAGCAGCCATGGTTTTAGATGTTTACTTGTGTGCCTGGCTCGCTTCTAACAGCCTCCCTGTGTTTTTTCACTTTTCAACAATCTTGGAGGTTAGTGCTTTGTTACCCACAATTTGAAGGAAAGAAAATCAGCCCATGGAGAGATCAGATAACCTGTCTTGAGGTTACATAGATGGTCAGCAGTGAGGTCAGTATTTGAACTCTTATCAGTCTGACTTTGGAGTTGTTTGCTGAAATCAGCTACTGTGTGGTTGTGTCTCTTTGCCTGGTATGTAATTATTTGACAGCAGAGTAGGAAGATATCTTACTCTTGAGGCTGGAGTGTTCTTTTCCTCTCATGAGGTCTTGTGAAGACAACAGAAAGCCAGGCATGTGTCAGAGGGGGTGCACAAAGAGGAGAGAGAGGTGGACAGGGCAGGGGAAGGAGGGAGAAATACATTTGGCTGTGGCAGAGATTTTTTTCTTCTCTTTGAATCTAAGACTTTGGGTTTGTTTTTTCGTCTTTGTTTTCATCTGTATCAGTCCTCCAACCCAAATATCCTGTGGTTATTCCTCTTCAAAGTTTCCTAATGATGTCTATTTATAACAGAGTTGTTTTCTGTGGATGGCTGATGTATAGATGGCACAACCCTCCTCAGATTTAGTGAGGAGACCAAGAGGTTTTTAAATGCTGGTGTGTGATATTTGTCCATTTGAAGCAAGTCATGAATAACTTGAACAGGGGTGGGGGTGGGGCAAAGCAAGACTATTGTATTTGAATAATGAGGTGCTCTCTCTTCTCCAACTGCCAAAACTTTTTAATCTTCGTCAACAATTGTTCTGTCCGACATTCTATTTAGGTCGCATCTGTGGACTGCGAGCTCAGAACCCTGACAAGCAGCATATGAATTCTGTATTCATTAGTGATCTTGATCCTAATGCCTCTGTCCCTGCCACAGGGGCTCAGGTGTGGAAGCTGCTGGTTCGTCCTCCCAGCTGACACTGAGAGCTTTAATGACTCTATTGGAAGATGACCACTGACTGGGAGGTTTGCAGGCAGAACCCACACCACAGAGAATGGTGATCATGGAGGACTATGGGGTTTAGCAGAGTGCCTTCCTGTGCAGCTTGAACCCCATTGGCATTAAACACAATGTTAAGTGAATGCAATTTAAAGAAAAAAGGCTGACCTTAACAAATAGTAAAAATGATATCAACTTAGTGAGCATCTCTTGACTTAGTTTTTCAGATTTTTCAAGTTTAAGCTTGTATTTATGTGGTAGTTACATCAGTTTAAGTGTCTTATATGTCTAGAGGAAAATCTGCAATTCAAACCAAAATTCTTTTGGTGCTGGCCCTTTTGTTTATTGTGATCTTTTGCTTTTAAAAATTACTAGAATGTGGATTTATTGATTGATATGCAGCATGTCATTAAGTATTTTGACCTTTTTAAGGACACTTTCTTCTAGAAACATTAGATGCCTTATTATCTAGAGACAACTTCATTGGTTCATAATTCACACCCATACAGTTTGCCTGTGTACAAGTTAGCTTTTACTATTTCATTAAGAGTTGTACAGTTATCACTGTAATAAGTTAGAACATTTTAAACTTTGTCTGACTCTAAAGACCAAAGTTATATCATTGCTTATTTCCTGTCAAGCCACCTATTCTGGACATTTTTCATGAATGTCACGATAGGTGATTTTAAAAAAGACTTATTTTAATATTTTCAAAAGATTTCATTCATGTTGTGGCACATTTTAGCATGTCATTGTTTTATGAAATTGAATGGATGTGGTGGCATCCTTTGGCTACCCTTTAGTTGGTGGGCATTTGGATTATTTCTACTGTTTGGCTCCTTTCCATTCGTCTGTGAACATCTCTTGTGTGTTTGTAGATCAGGGCTAACCTTTTGTGGTATTGCCAGACCTTTCCATAAATTCTGTGTTGGAAGCAGCATAGGAAGGTTTTGATTGCTTTACATCCGTAACCAATGCTTGCCACCTGTCATTTTGAGTCATCCAGGTGAGGGCGAATTGTGTTTCACTTTGGTTTTAATGAATCCCTTATTAAGAAAAAATGTGACTGTGGGAATGTGTAGATTGAACAGTTTAACATTGTACATGCTTATAAGCTCTGGTTTTGGGCAGTAATTGGTCTGATTATGTATTTGTTTAAATAGTGAAAGATCCCTTTGGAAGGTCTTTTAGAGGTTGTTTCTGTAGTTTGCCTTTGGTCACAATTTCTTTTTACCGGTTTTCCTTAAGACCGTAAGCATGAGAATCCGTAATAGCGTGTCTTTATTGTTAGATCAAAAAGATATATTAATTTCTAAGGTAATTTTTTTCTCTGGTTCTATTTAACATGCAACTTTAGGTTTAGAGGTGTCAGAACCCCCAAAATACAATCCCAGAAACCTTGCATAGAATTATTTACAGTAGTGCTTTTCAGTGGAATTGATGAGTAACGCTTAGCAATAAGTAGACATTTATGGGTTAGTAGGAGATTTGGGGGAATTCCTCCTTATGGGAAGCAGTATTGATGGGATGCCTCCTACCAGCTTGTATATAATCTGTTTCCTTTTTTAAAAACCGTGAAGCAGAGTTGGAGTTAGGGTAGGGTAAGGTCAGAACAGGGATTGTCGTGCATGCTGTAGAGTGGGCAGACTCAAAGTGGGAAACTTGTCCTATGGTTTTCTTTTAAAAAGTGAGTTTGGTGCAAGACTCTGGGTTTGATCTCCAGCAATTGGGGGTTGGGGGCAAGATGACTCAGAGGACATAGTGCTTGCCACAGAAGCCCGGTGACATGAGTTTCATCCCTGGAGCCCATGATGGAAGGAGAGAAATCCTCTGATCTACACACACACACATACACACAGCAACCACTAAAACAAACATTTCTTAAAAAGTGAGTTTGTTCATTAACCTTCATCAGGCGATGAAAGGAGACAAGAGACAGAGACAGTGACCCACATTGGAGCACCGAACTGAAATCTCAAGGTCCAAATCAGGAGCAGAAGGAGAGAGAGCACGAGCAAGGAACTCAGGACGGCGAGGGGTGCACCCACACACTGAGACAATGGGGATGTTCTATCGGGAACTCACCAAGGCCAGCTGGCCTGGGTCTGAACAAGCCTGG